GCCACAATTAGAGAAAGCCCACAGCAATAAAGACCCAATGCAGCCAAAAAGAAAAAAAAAAAAAAAATCAAGCTCATAGATACAGAGAACAGATTGGTGGTTGGCAGAGGTTGGGGGTGGGGACATGGGAGGAATGGGTGAAGGGACGTCGAAAGGTAAAAAGAAAAAAAAATGTAGTTGATGTAAAATACTCATAAAATTTTTGAATCATATTCAAAATATTGATTTTTTATATATATATACACATATGTTTATGTATATGCTAATGTATATAACATAGGTATATTTTTACAGTATATTTAAAAACACTATTATTTCTAAAAGAGTGAAAATAAAATACCATTCTAAGATGAACCCAAATATTAGCAATTCTTAGAAATTTGCATTAAAAATTTTAAAACCAAAAGCCAAGTAAACAAATAAATCAGTCATATTTCTATGCACTAGCAATGAACAATCTGAAAAGGAAATTAAGAGAACAATTTGATTTACAATAACATAAAAAAGAATTAAATGTTTAGGAATAAATTTAACCAAGGAGGCATAAGACTTGTACACTGAAAACTACAAAAACTGCTGAAGAAAATTAAAGATACCCTAAATAAATGGAAAGACATCCCATCTTCATGGATTGGAAGACCTAATATTGTTCAAATGATAATACTCCCCAAAGTAATCTACAGATTTAATGTCTGAAAACTACAAAAACTGCTGAAGAAAATTAAAGATACCCTAAATAAATGGAAAGACATCCCATCTTCATGGATTGGAAGACCTAATATTGTTCAAACTGAAAACTACAAAAACTGCTGAAGAAAATTAAAGATACCCTAAATAAATGGAAAGACATCCCATCTTCATGGATTGGAAGACCTAATATTGTTCAAATGATAATACTCCCCAAAGTAATCTACAGATTTAATGTCTGAAAACTACAAAAACTGCTGAAGAAAATTAAAGATACCCTAAATAAATGGAAAGACATCCCATCTTCATGGATTGGAAGACCTAATATTGTTCAAATGATAATACTCCCCAAAGTAATCTACAGATTTAATGTAATTCCTATTAAAATCCCAACTGTCTCTTTAGTAGAAATAGACAAGCAGATCCTAAAATTCACATGGAATTGTAAGAGATGCCAAACAGTCAAAATAATCTTATAAAGAAGGGCAAAGTTGGAAGACTCACAGTTCCCAATTTCAAAACTTACTACAAAGTGACAGTAATCAAAACAGTGTGCTCCTGGCATCTGGTCTCAATGGAACAGAATTAAGAATCCAGAATAAACCCATACGTGTGTGGTCAACTGATTTTCAACAAGGATACCAAGACTGTTCAATGGAGAAAGAAGATGTCTTCAACAAATAGTGCTAGGACAACTGAATACCGATGCACAGAAGAACATAGTTGGATCCTTACCTCATACCGTATATAAATATTAACTTAAAATAGATCAAAAACTTACATATAAGAGCTAAAACTATTATTGTTGTGACCATTTTACAATGTATACAAACACCAAATCATCATGTTGTACACCTGAAACTAATATAATATTGTAAATCAATTATACTTCAAGTTAAAAAAAGAGCGAAACTATGAGGTTCTTAGAAGAAAACATGACCTTTTTGATTTGGCAAAGGTTTCTTAGATATGACACCAAAAGCATGAACAACAAAAGAAAAATAGACAAACTGGACTTCATCAAAATTTAAAACTTTGTGCATCATAGAACACTATCAGAGAGTGAAAAAACAAATGATAGAATGGGTAAAAATATTTGCATATCATACATCTGATGAGGGTTTAGTATTCAGAATATATAAATAATGCTTAAAACTCAACAGCAAAGACAAACAACCCAATTTAAAAATGGGCAAAGGACTTGAATATACATTTCTCTAAAGAAGATATACAAATGGCCAACAAGTACTTGAAAAGATGCTCAATGTCATAGTCATTAGGGAAATGCAAATGAAAATCACAATGAGATACCACTTCACAGGCACTAGGATGGCAACAGTAAAAACAAGAGCAACAGTGGAAAGTACTGATAGTGTTGACAGGGATGTCGAGAAACTGGAGCTCTCGTGCATTGCTGATGGAACCGTAAAATGGTGCAGCTGCTGTGGAAAATAGTTTGGCAGTTTCCTATAAAGCTAAACATAGAATTACCATATAATCCAGCAATTCTACATCTAGGTACACACTTAAAGAATTGAAAACAAGTGTTCAACAAAAGCCTGTAAATGAATGTTCATCGCAGCACTATTCACAATAGCCAAAAAGTGGAAACAATCCAAATACCCATCTACAGATGAATGGATAAACAAAATGTATTCATACAATTGAATATTATCCAGCCATAAGAGAAATAAAGTCCTGATACCTGTGACAACATGGCTGAACTTTGAAAACAGTACGCTAAGAAAAAGAAGCCAGACACAAAAGGCTACATATTGTATGATTCCATTTACATGAAATATCCAGGATTCCAGGTGAATCCATAGAGTCAGAAAATAGGTTAGTCATTGCCAAGGACTGTGGGTAGGAGAAAATGGGGAGTGACTGCTTAATGGGTACACGGTTTTCTTTTGTAGTGATGAATACTTTCTGGAACTAGACAGTTGTAATGATTGCACATTATAAATGTACTAAATACCGCTGAATTGTGCACTTTGGTGAATTCTATATGTATTTTACCACAATTTTAAACTTATTTTTAATTTCTAAAAAAATCATTTGCATGATATAATAAAGTCTCATATCACAAAAGGCAGAAGAGGAAACTGCAGTAAAGTTAATTTATCAAAGGTTAGCATCTGAATTATTGATAAAGATTTGACAGAAAGGTATAGGATCAATCTCCAAAGTTATCAGGCTCAGTGGTCAAAACTGATGCACAGATTATATACCAAGATATAATTATAGTATAATTCCTCACATAAAAATGGACAGGCCACCAGAAAGTAAATGCCTATTAAAACACCCTCAAGGAATCATCATATTCTGAATGCCTTACAAAAGAGTTAAAAAGCAAATGTGGCCAGGCCTTAGGGAAAGAAATAAATGTAAACATCTCTAGTGACATTGTAAAACTGTTCTAGAGAACAATCTGACATTATGTAACAGGAGCTATAAAGTTAGTCAAGTACTTTGACCTAATAAATTCAGTTAGGGGACTACACTTTTAAAGGAATACCCAAAGTAGGAGAAGCAGGAAATAATTTGAAAAAAAGATATTCATAATCACGACATCTAACATAAGAAAATACAAACTAATTTAAATAATCAAAGAGTAGAGCTAAATGAACTATTATTATTGCCTAAACACAATGGAATATATGCATATGTCTACGTGTGTGTATATGTATATATGTATATTTTTAAATCACAATTACATAACTATTTGATAGGTTAAAACACAGGTAAGAAATAATGCCAAAGTAAATCACAAAATAGTGCTCACATTGATTTCAACTCTATATATACATTGAAAAGAATTCGGAGTAAGATTTTAAAACTCAATAGGCTCTTTTAGAAATAAATTGTAGGGAATTCCCTGGTGGTCCAGTGGTTAGGACTCCATGCTTCCACTGCAGGGAGCACGGGTTTGATCCCTGGTTGGGGAACTAGGAACCCACATGCCACACGGCACAGACAAAAAAAAAAAAAAAAAAATTGTGGAATGTAGTAATTTCCTGGTGATCATTTTCCAATCACATTCTTTACCCAAAGACTGGTTAAAAAAAAGAGAGGTAAGACAACAATAACAATTTTTATAGAATAAACTATAAGTAGAAGAAAATCTTAAGTGATCAAATTAAGATATTTTATCTTAGTAAGATTCTGACCTTACTATAAACCTCTTTTTGTTGAGATAAAAGTTTTGAAGCCAATTCCCCAACAAGATTTGGAGGAAATATTTTTTCACTGTATTTAAAATGTTAACCATATTCTTGTAAATAAAAATATTTTTTATATAATACTTAAGTCAAGATACATGGATACGCTTTAAAATGTCAAGGAAGGCAAGTCAATTAAATGTACACAAACTATATATTCATATAGATGCAGAAATATGAATAACTGTCATAAGACCAATTTAAAAATGTAACACTGTGCAGTTATCACAGTACAAACAACCTGTGTACAAGTAAATGCCTAAACACTGCTCTGAAGAGTTGTTGCCATAGAAGCCATCATTAAAAGTAAACAAAAGCAAACTGGAGCTTTCAGACATTCTGTCTATTCAGAAGTTGAAGGGAAGAAGCCTTAAAAAGCAGAAGCAGTGAAAAGTACAGTTTAAGAGAGCTGGTCTAAGAGCCACTGTCCTGTCCCCAATTCTGTCTACTACTGGAATTTTTTCTTATACATCTTGAAAATCTACCAATTAGAAAATTATGCAGATTAACAGGTATTGTCCATTTATCATAATCAATACCTCTGAAACAATTAAGCAGTCAAACATTATTACACAGTATTATGAGTTTGTTCAATTTCTTTCACTTCTAGCACCTAAATGAAGCAAACTGCAATTGGAGGGAATGGAAAAGGAAACAGCAATGAACTTTCTACCATGGCAGTCTTTATTTCTTCCAGAACTCATTTTTCAAAACTCTTTATCTTCCCTCCTTTCTAATCAAAGTTTTCATATATTAGCCTAACAAAATATATCTTCTCTCACTTCTCAGAAAAATTTTACATTCATAAGAACTAATAGCATTTTTTAAAATCAACTCACCTGAAATTTATTTTTTAACACTGGAGAACAAGAGAAGGTTTTGAAAGTGTTCTTTAAAATATCTCTATCCATTTAAAACCTACTTTTCTTTTAAATTTTATAACTGTCATACTTTCTCTTTGTATGTATATAACTTCACTATACATCCATTAGTTAGAGATTATAATAATGAAGACCTTAATTCAGACTTGTAAATAAATATATTATATTTAAAGAAATCTTTTCAGCATAATATTCATCAACTGATTCTTACTTTGCTTCAATTTATGGAGATCACCGGCTCGATCCTTAGTAGCCTGCTTTAGAATATCTGCTTGAATTCTGGGTTCACTCTCCAAGTTAGGGCCTGGAATTAAATGTTGAAGAGGATTGGAAGGCTTCTGTTTTGAAGTTCTGGGGTTTCCATTGTGGTTTACATGAGAATCTATGGCATAAAAACATCAAATTAAGGTCATATTTTGCAGAAGAATTTCATAAGATGTATCTGAGAAAAGGTAAGACACTTATCTGATACTGGGTAGTCAGGTAGCTTTTTTTTAAAGCTTTATTTCATTTCTTTAATCAAATCTTATAACCATTGTGATTTTAGTTGTGTGAAGTTTACTAATCATTCCCAGGCGGGTATCTTTAGTATTGATTATAAACCTATTCATCAATGGAATATATATCAATAGTAGAAACCCAAAGATTAAAATGGCAGTGATACCTGTAACTTTTCTTCCCTCCAAATTCTATATTGCTGTCAGAAATCTCCAAAATCCAATAAGGCTTTTAGAATTTCTAATCTTAAAGTTATTTTCATCTACACAGCGACATAACTGTTAACTCTTGATTCTTTCTTATTAGTATCTCCTGGATATAACTTTTCTTTCCCCCACCTCCCTTTTTAACTCATCAAAGCCTCGATTTAGATCTTTATTACAATTAATTTTAATCATACCAATTCTCATTTTAGGGGAACATTTCTGTAAAATTGAGTAGGTATTCAGTAGAAAACACACAGATAAGTACAGAGTAGGGAGTTTGATACAGGCGGATCTCATTTTATAGAAGGCCTCTGTGAGATAAACTTGAACACATTTTGGAGAAGGTAAAGACATATATACTGGTAGTGATGAAAGGGAACGTAGTCCAGAGTGGCAGAACAAATAATTCTCCCACTCTTAATAGTCCAGTAGACGAAGTTCATTTTGTAATGATCTCTCCCTGAGCTTTTTTTTTTTTTTTAATGAATCAGTTATATATACACATATGTTCCCATATCTCTTCCCTCTTGTGTCTCCCTCCCTCCCACCCTCCCTATCCCACCCCTCCAGGAGGTCACAAAGCACCGAGCTGATCTCCCTGTGCTATGCGGCTGCTTCCCACTAGCTATCTACCTTACGTTTGGTAGTGTATAAATGTCCATGCCTCTCTCTCGCTTTGTTACAGCTTACCCTTCCCCCTCCCCATATCGTCAAGTCCGTTCTCTAGTAGGTCTGTGTCTTTTTTCCCGTCTTACCCCTAGGTTCTTCATGACATTTTTTTCCTTTAAATTCCATATATATCTGTTAGCATACGGTATTTGTCTTTCTCTTTCTGACTTACTTCACTCTGTATGACAGACTCTAGGTCTATCCACCTCATTACAAATAGCTCAATTTCGTTTCTTTTTATGGCTGAGTAATATTCCATTGTATATATGTGCCACATCTTCTTTATCCATTCATCCGATGATGGGCACTTAGGTTGTTTCCATCTCCGGGCTATTGTAAATAGAGCTGCAATGAATCTCCCTGAGCTTTTATCAGTCGTTTGACAATATACAAAGTTAACTAGAATAATGAATGATACTTCACTGTGCTGCTAAATGACATGTTTTATTCACTATGTAACAATACATGACCAGAAAATTGATTTTCAAATGGAATTTTAAGAATAAGACTTCATACCTGGAACCATATTTGGGGAGAGAGGTTGTCCAGTTGGAAGATGGGAGATTACTTGATGACTTTCATATTGAGAAAAGGAAACAGGGGGTTTCTTTAAAGCTAAAATTAAAAACAGATCCATATTATTCCCCGTGATATTATGGTTTCTAAATACCAATCACCATGAATCTGTTTACATTGCACTAATCCTATGATGCTTACTCTAATTTTGTAATCCTTATAATTGGTATATTAACTAATTAATTTATGGTTACTAATTGATATATTGCACCACCCAACACAGATTTTGATGATCAATAAATCTGACCAGAATACAAGATAGGAATTCTGTCTTGTTCATCACTATATCCCCAATACCTAGAATAGTGCCTGGCATATAACAGGAGCGCAATTAAAATTTGATGAATGAATAAATAAATGAATCTCTTCAGATACAGTGAGACCTTTTTATATGGATAGCATAAATAAAAATTGACATTTATAGATTAGGCAAAGCTATGAGAATATGCTACTCTAAGCTGCTCAGATTTTAAATAAAAACTAAATATGACTGATTCAACAAGTTCAGATTTTAGTTTTGAAAAGGGAATTTTTTTTTAACATCTTTATTGGAGTATAATTGCTTTACAATGGTGTGTTAGTTTCTGCTTTATAACAAAGTGAATTAGTTATACATATACATATGTTCCCATATCTCTTCCCTCTTGTGTCTCCCTCCCACCCACCCTCCCTATCCCACCCCTCTAGGTGGTCACAAAGCACCGAGCTGATCTCCCTGTGCCATGTGGCTGCTTCCCACTAGCTATCTATTTTACGTTTGGTAGTGTATAAATGTCCATGTCACTCTCTCACTTTGTCACAGCTTACCCTTCCCCCTCCCCATATCCTCAAGTCCATTCTCTAGTAGGTCTCTGTCTTTATTCCCCTCTTTCCCCCTAGGTTCTTCATGACCTTTTTTTCCCCTTAGATTCCATATATATGTGTTAGCACATGGTATTTGTTTTTCTCTTTCTGACTTACTTCACTCTGTATGACAGTCTCTAGGTCCATCCACCTCACTACAAATAACTCAATTTCGTTTCTTTTTATGGCTGAGTAATATTCCATTGTATATATGTGCCACATCTTCTTTATCCATTCATCTGATGATGGACACTTAGGTTGCTTCCATCTCCTGGCTATTGTAAATAGAGTTGCAATGAACATTCTGGTACATGACTCTTTTTGAATTACGGTTTTCTCAGGGTATATGCCCAGTAGTGGGGTTGCTGGGTCGTATGGTAGTTCTATTTGTAGTTTTTTAAGGAACCTCCATACTGTTTTCTATAGTGGCTGTATCAACTTACATTCCCACCAGCAGTGCAAGAGTGTTCCTGAAAAGGGAATTTTTAAGTTTTGTACAAAAAGCTTTACTAGCCAAGATGTACTTACTTAGAGTTGGAACTTTCTTCTCCCTTAAGAAATAAAGGCAATAGGGAAAGAGATCATTTTTCACTCACTCCACTGCAACCTTGGGCAGCTTAATGTGACAGAAAGGCAGAGAGCAAGAAGGAAACTAGAGAGAAGGCAAACAGATAAAGAGAAAAAAAAATAGAGAGCCCATCTATAAGATATGGTTAGTGGCACATTTTATTCTTCTAAAACTTTGGTGTGGCAGACACGATGCTTTGTGACCCCATTTCATTATATTTTTCCTAGGCACAGAGGAAGATAAGCCTTCCTTACTTTTATGTGCCACGAAACTGGGTTCTAACCATAAGAATGTAAGTGAAACAGAATGTAAGTGAAACAGAATGAGCCACTTCCAACTATGCCAATAAAATCTTCTGTGCAAATCACCTACAATCTCTCTTCCCTTCTGTCACAAATTAGGAGGCTACATATGAAGATACTGGCATCAAATAATGGAAGAGGACACTGCTTAGAGAGAGCTGCAAAGAGAATCATGCAACCTGCATCAGTCTGTAATGTGAACAATAAATGAAACTTTATTGCTTTAAGCAATTGCAATTTGGGGATTATTTGTTAGTACATAACAGCCTCGTCAGTCCTAACTAGTATACTTGGGTTATTTTTATAATCCTCAAAGTTTATTTCAGTGACTGTATTTCATTTATTATTATATAGATTTCTAAACTTAAGGACCCAAGAAGTTTAAAATTCACTCTAAGAAAGCAACCCATTCAAATTTACAGAAAGTTGAGGTTTTCTATATCTTACTGTGTTCCCCCATTTCCTTGTTCGTATTGCCAGCTGCAATGCCCAACACCCACCACTGCACGTAAGACAGCTAAATAACAACAATCAGCTAACATCTTTAAAGAGCAGTACTTTCCCAGGTTTAACACCATTTTGATTTGCTAACAGACTCTGAGGACAACTAAGCATCTGATAGATATACTGGAAAGAGAAGTCAGTCACAATGTACAAACTTGTGGATCACTGTTGGACCCTAGCTGGCTCCAGTACTATATAAACCAAAAGACAAGAGAGGGTACTTTCAATACTAAACAGGAAGTGATCATACATGTTCTTAGCTTTATTTAATAATGCCTCCTGCCCAAGAACAAGGTGACTATTCAGAGGCAAAACTATGAAGATTTATATAGGTAGAAAAAGCTGGATTAAAAAGAGCCTTTATATATGGGTTCGATCCCTGGTTGGGCAACTAAGATCCCACATGCCATGTGGTGCAGCCAAAAAAAAAAAAAAAAAAAGAAAGAGCCTTTATAAAACATCCAGAGGAGTTTAGAACTGATATACAGGCATACCTTTGTATTGCAGGTTCAGTTCTAGACCACTGCAATAAAGTGAATATCACGATAAAGCGAGTTGCATGCATTTTTTTGGTTTCCCAGTGCATATAAAAGTTATGTTTACACTATACAGTAGTCTATTAAGTGTACAGTAAAATTATGCCTAAAAATCAATGCGTACACACCTTAATTTAAAAATACTTCATTGTTAAAAAATACTAAACATTACCTGAGCCTTTAGCAAGTCGTAATCTTTTTGTTGGTGGAAGGTTTGAAATATTGCAAGAATTACTGAAATGTGACACAGAGACAATGAAAAGAGCAAATGTTGTTGGGAAAATGGCACTGATAGATTTGCTTGACAAAGGATTGCCACAAACCTACAATTTGTAAAAAAACACGATCTGTGAAGTACTGTAAAGCTAAGCACAATAAAACACGGCATGTCTGTAGCAGAAACTATACAGTCAAGCCTTGACATCCATGGGGGACTGGCTCCAGGACACCCGACCCCACCCTCATGCTCAAGTCCCTTAGTCAGTCTTCCTTATCCATGGTTCTGCATCTGAGGATTCAAACAATCACGGAGTGCAAATATAGTATACAATCTGAGGCTGGTTGAATCCACCAAGGAGGAACCTGAGGACGTGACTGTGGTAATATGGAGCCTTATAAGTTTGACGTGAATTACTACATTTCTGTAAAAATTTACAAAAATAGAGAACCAGAAAGAAATTTAAAATGAGCTGTAATTCCACCACTTAAAGATAACCACTGCTACCATTTCAAGATTATCTGTTTTGTTTGTTTTTTTCTGTACATTACACCATATACCATAAACAAAATTAGGATACCATCATATATACTATCTTATAATCTGATTTTTTATTTAATATTTTATATACATTTTTCTATGTCATCCCATTTTCTTCTACAGCATTCCTAAATGGTAGTACTGAATCAAAACTTCCAACTTACTAGGTTTGGCTAGAAAGATCTGGGTAAAGAATTGCCACAAGGACTTTAGAGTGCCATAAACTGCATCAGCTAAGCTAGTTGGTGGATAGACTTTTACTACTTAGGAAAAAGTAATGTGTGTTCTGTAAACACTTTGGTTTCTATGCTTTCACTGTGACTTTTTTGTTTATTTTCCTAGAAAAGTTCCTTTAAAAAAAACTCCAGCCTTTTTCTTTTGTTGAACTAAGGGGAGAGGTGATTTATTTATATCCAGGACAAGACAGAGGCTTTCCCAGGAGCCAGAATTAACAGGTACAGTTAGTGGTACCAAAACAAATGAAGATTTGGAAAATTACTAGTGGACTTGGACACAAAATAAGACTGCTAATCTTGCTCTCCGATTTTGGATAGGATTCTTCAGACTTTTTTTTCTATACACATTCAAGTATCTAATTTTTCCTCCACAAAAATGAGATTATATTGTACGTGCTTCCTTGTAACCTGCTTTTTTTCATTAAAAAAATCATAGGTATATTGGGAATTCCCTGGCAGCCCAGTGGTTAGGACTCTGCACTTTCATTGCCGGGGGCCCAGGTTCAATCCCTGGTTGGGGAACTAAGATCCCACAAGCCACATGGCGTGGCCAAAAAACAAAAAAAAAATCATAGATATATGTATATGTTAATAAAAACAGCTCAACACTATCTTTTATAATGACTACATATCACATTTATTGATAAAACACATTTAATAAACTAATAAGCTTACCTATAACATTTATATGGGCTTCAATTTATTATTATAAATAATTTTATGGTGAGAATTTTTGTAACTACATGATAGAGTGAGTTCTCAGGGAAGTACTAAACACTAGGTCAATGACTATGTGTACTTATTAAGCAAATTAAGAGAAACAATAAATGTGAGCTCAAAGACAACTGAAGTCTGGGAAAGAATTAAGACACTGAAAAGAATGCAAACAATTATGTATGATATTAAACTTATAATCTGTGATATACTTTACTCAGGTCCTCTCCATTGACGACCACTGAGAGCCAGGGGAAAACATACAAGTCAACAGAGAATAGCATGCTGCTATCAGATAATATCATGAATAGGCTGTTAAAATATATATCATTGATAAAGTCATTATTAAGTAAAATTACCAAACATAAAATGGTGAAACCTATTTAACATAAAGATAAAATACCGGATACACTAGAGCACATAGCTTTTATCCTACCACTATGATACTGGGTTTTGTCTTTTTTATAAAGGAGAGCTATCAAATATGGAAATTCAATCTTTCAGCAATACTTTTTTTTTTACATCTTTATTAGAGTGTAAGTGCTTTACAATGGTGTGTGAGTTTCTGCTTTATAACAAATTGAATCAGTTATACATATACATATGTTCCCATATCTCTTCCCTCTTGCGTCTCCCTCCCTCCCACCCTCCCTATCCCACCCCTCCAGGCTTTC